TTATCATTTTGTGGGGGAAGATTTGCTTCTAAACAATGTCTGGAATTCTAAAACCTCTGCATAGACTGACACATTAACATTTGAAATAAATAATAGGTCCTGACTTTAACAATTGAACCAATAAATGGTGGTGTTTATAGCATGTATGTATACATAGTGATTTCTGCCATAAAACTGTGCATCCTGTAAAGCCTTCTTCCATGACTTATGTATTACCAGGGCCCACACAAAATGGTCAGTTTGTTAATCTGAGGCTAGAGCTGTAGGAAATACCATCCTTACCATATGGGCATTAAGCTGCTCCTTGGCTGTTTCTGGTAAACCTCCCAGAGGTTTGGATGCCAACAGATGTCGCTCCGTGTCAGTCAGCCACTGCTGTAAATCCTCAATTTCGCCATGGAACCCTTTGGCCTGAAGTAATAAGAAGTTTTAAGTTGGGGCCACAAACACTGTCAGTTTCAAGCAGAAAATAAGGTTCAAACAATCCCAGCCTGCTAAGCCTCTCTATGCATTCTTAAGAACAGCCAGGTACCACTGGATTTGCTTTGCCTTTCCTCATCAGGAGAGCTTTAGTAGATAAGAGTATTATGCTAAGAACTAGAGCTGCATTCTCTCCTGCTCTGCTCTTTATCCCACTTATTTTTACTCCTCTTCTAAAGGTATGAAAACTCAACATGAAAAGAATTCTATGCTACTTTGGTCTTGAACGCCATAGAAAGTTTCAGAATTTATTCTCTTATTCACCTGCCGCAAGGCACCATCCAGCTGCTGCTTCCTTTGTTCTGTTTTTTCCAAAACATTTTGCCAGCGTTGATTTAAAACCTCTAGCTTGTTCTGAAGGTTGCTCGCTTCTTCTCCTGCACTTGATTCAATTAGATCATTTCCTGCTTTATTAACGGCTTCCACTGTGGACTGATGGGCTAATACATCATTTTGGAGCACCTGAAAATATTAAGATAATGCCATGTTTGCTAGTTTGTAACATGGTATCACTTTTAATGCAACTGCTTTATTTTCTGGTTAGGAAACATTCTGAAACAAAAACATCATATGCATAGAATTTTAATATTAGGTTTTTAAATGATGAACTCCTTTCCCTCAACTTTGCACCTTTCCTGGATATACCTTTAGTCTACCAACACACCCTTAAATGATTGTGTAAGAACACTTTGCTAGTTATTCCCACTAGAAAGATCTGGTAATTGATGACACTAAGAATCTAGAGATTATAATTAAAAGGTTCTAAAATTTCTTGTTTCAGGCTATATAATTATAATTTACACAATTATAATTATGATAATTATATTATAATTAATTGAACTTAATTGTCTTAAGTAATTAATTGAAAAGACACTTTTACTTCTATATATTCAATTTCAAATACAAAATGATCAAATCTCAGATATACAGTACCATATTTTACAATTAGCACTCTGAAAGGGAAAAAAATAACCATAAAATATTCCTTTATCTTCTTTTGTTGGAGGAGATCCTAGAATTAACTCCTATGTTTAAAGGAATCCAGGAAGGCCCTAACACTAAAGGGAAAGAGATTTCACTATGTATCAGGGACACTCAAGCCCAGCATTCCAAAGTTCAGCTGTTCTTTTACTAGAAAATACACATATGAAATGCTTACTACAGATCCCAGTAAATAATGCCTTCCTGTTTTATACAGTGGAAATAAAAGCATAGACTAATAATGCTTAAATGCACTAGAATGGGACAAGACTGGTTAGGACAAAAAGCAACTCCAAGGCTAAAAAAAACCAATTTCCTATTTGAAAAGAATTACATTTTAAAGAACTAGTGCAGCCTTAGTAATAGTTTCCTTTCAAATGACTATGCTTACATTTTTGGAAACCAGAAGAAACCTCCCTCTAATGTTAGTAAGAGTTGATCACAATCCTACCCTACACTCGTTGACTCAGGGTTGGCAAAAGTAAAGAAAAAGAACACCGTCTCTCAGCCTATGTACAACAGCACACATCTGGTGGCAAATCCAGACCAGAGAGGATTTTCAACGAAGAGCAGTAACCATGTGAGATCATTGTTCCTCTGATTGTATTCACTCATTTTCTGAGGCATCTGGTGAGGGAGTGTTTTTCAAAGGCTATAAAGCCAACTGAATAAGAAGTTAGCCTTATAGAAAGCATGTACTTTGATAGGTTAACAGTAGGGAGCACTCCCAAAATGAAAGAGTTAAATACTCTCGTGGTCAAGATGTAAAAGATGATTCTATAAAACGTATTCTTCTGAATTGCCTGAGTTCTAAAAGGCAGAGCCTAGGGGCAAGAGAAAGCAGGAGAGGGATGGAAACCTTCCCTCCCCTCCAGAGACTCTGCTGGGAATTCTAAGTCCTCTAACTTTTGATCTTTGAGAAATGTAAGGAAAAGAGAAAATGAGCCATTTCTAACTACCGAAAGATAGATAAACAAAACTAAAAGGTCCCTACCAAGCCCCTGCCAAAATAACTGGATCAGGCCGCCTCATTCTTCCACCTCCACCATATTATGCACAGTTCCTATCACTGATATATGCTGTTTTTAAGACGATTGCTAGGTTCATAAAAAATGTAAATACAGCTATGAACTCACACTATGAGAATAAACATTTTGTTTTTACGCATAGTCTCACCGGTCATTATTGCTCTAAGCAAAGGTATAATGTAGACATTAAATAATGAAGCAGGCTTCTATATAAACACTAATTATGCAAAATAAACCTTAATTGCTTAATCAAATATGGCTGGACAATGACTTGCAGTGCAGACAGAACCAGATAAAAGAGAAAGAAAATTTTAAATCAGAGAGCAATTACTGTGGGGAAAAGTATAAAAGAAGAGAACTAAAGCATGAACAGTCAAAAACTATAAATCATGATCTTAAAGTGCTAGAAAAAAAACCTCTATGTTTTATTGTAAAAATAATAAACATGAAAAATAATCAAACGATTTCTATTTAATAATCCAGGAAATTTATTTAAGGATAGAATTTAGGACGCTGAAGAAAAAACTATTAATGTGAACGTTAAAGTCTCTGAAAGACTGCTGAATGCCAGGATAAACCTTTATTCATTAAGTCTAGTGACTTAAGGGATAGAGAATGATCTAAGAATTTGAGATTTAAGAACTGTCACAAAGGTGACAACAATACAAAATTGTTTTGCATGTATCTCCTAAGACAAAATTTTTCAACTAATAAACTTTAAATCAAGTGTAGGGCATATACAAATTTTAATTTTAAACATAACAAATATTTTTAAAAACTAACTCAGAAAGAAAGGAAGCAAGACACAAAAAGCCAATCAAAGATAAAAGCAACACAGAGACAAAAGAACAAACCCCAACATGATAAGAGATGTACGGACAGACAGAAATACGTTAGCATGCCAAACAAGCTGCAAGTGAGAGAGACACGGAGACATGGATGACTAGAGGAAAAACACACAAAACCTGCAGCAGGACAACATCTTGAGCCTATGATTTTTTAGGCTATTCCCAACAACTTATAAAAATAGGTATAATTAGGGAACTAAATCCCTAGTGTTTGCCTTGCAGTCCTAATAAAATTTAGTCACAAATTTCCCATCCTTGCTGTGTTTGACAATAATTGCTTTGAACAATGTGAAAAATATTTTGACCATAATCTTTTAAGAAGTGTGTTTTAAGTTGTTTAACCGTTAGTTACCAATGTCAAATATGAACTTGTGTTAAAATCATAAACTTGAAACACACATGTAAGGAAGAAACATACCAAAAAAAAATATCTGATGACACTAGAAATACAGAGGAGAAACATAACATGCAATAACAGATACATACATGGTGCTTGGCAAGTTCAATTTCAATGGCTTTCGGGTCTCCTCCAACAGGTTTCTGCTCACTTAGCAAGCCCTCGGTGTGGGTCAGCCACGTCAAGAGCTCATCCAGGGCATGTTGGAACTGGCCCAGTGCTAATAGCGCACCTTCCAGCTTATGCTACAGAAAAAGTGGAGAGGAAGAAAATTCCTTTACAAATTTCGTATTATGAATGATAGACATTTATAAAGCAAAGGCAGAAAATCAATTGTTTCATGCTGTGTAAGTCCGTAAGCATATCCAATGAAGCCTAACTGTCATATTCTTCTACATCTTAAGTTTGACATTCTTTGCAGTTAAAAAATGGCACATGAGAAGCGGGAAGCGGGAAGAGTTCTAACTTTATGTGAAATAATTATTTAACGTTAATATCTGAAATTGAAAATTTATAGCTTCTTAACAAAAGCCTTGGTATTTACCTGTCTGTTGATAATTCTCTCATCCAGACTATCCCATATCAATTTCAGTTCCATTAGTGGGTCTTGAACAGTGTGTTTGTCGCTCTCCTCTGTTACTTTCTTCAGCAAAAGCTCTGCTTGATGGTTCAGTCTTTCCATTTCTATCTGTTGTTGATAGGCCTCTGACTTAAATTGCTATTTACAAAAAGAGAAACGCAAGGAAAATATTGTAAAAATCAATAAAAATATTCTATCGGTTAGATATTTATTCTAATTCAAAGTTCTTATTGGGGGGAGGTGAAGAAAAATTAAAATCTAACATGGGGCTTACCGATGAAAGAATTACAGACCAAAAAAAAAAAGGGAAATCTTTTCTCTTTATTCAGTATTTTTTGATGGAAAGATGTTCTATTTATAAGTTTGACATTTCAGTTTTGTTCTCTACAATAAAAAGATTAAATTTTAAGGCTGCACTTATTCCAATGCCCAATTATAAAAATATAATCTATATTGACATATACGAAACCCAGAAAAGTGTTAAGAAACTCAAATTAATATTTTCTGCTCTAAAACATATACACATCTTATATCCTCTGATAATTTTGTATTTTCTGTAGCTGTGCTATGTTCAATAGTGTTTAGTTATTCTTATGTCTCACACATTGCTAATACAGAATAACATTACTCTCTCTCTCTCTCTCTCTCTCTCTCTCTCTCGGTGTTTTCTAAATCACTGACATGTATTTAATAATCTTGGCTTTGCCAACCAACAGGCTAGCAGACAGTTGCTTGCAATAAAAAAATGCCCCTTCATAAAATATCTTCATAAAATATTCACTTTAATATGTAATAGTAAATAATGGCCAAGCAGTATCTTAATTTTTAAAAAAATGTAAAAATAATAACTAAGGTATAGTGAGCACTTGGTATGTTCAAGTTACTTTCAACCAACTTAAAAGGAATTCAATTTAAGTTTAGGACATAGGAGTAAAATGAGATACCTTTTCTAAGGTCATTTGGCTAGTAAGTGGATGAACTGGGACCTAACCTCAGACTACCTGATTTAAGAGTGAGTACTCCTAACCAAGCTGCTATACGAAACCCACTGAGATATATGCAAGTATCCAAAATACATTCTCCTCCGCAACTGTAATTGTACATAAAGTATATCATACGTTTACTACACTGTCAGGTCAAAAAAAAAAACCCTAAATCTAGTGATAGTAACAGTAAAATTCTAAAAAAAAAATTGTTTCTAAATGGAATATTCTATATTATACTTAGAGATGAAAACATTACAATTTTAAAGCCAGATAATAATTTCACATAAAAATCTAGTAGAGTTCACTGCAAATGGTATGTTGTCTCTGTGTATGGAGACAAAGTTAGGAAGGAAATAGCTGATTCCACTTTGATAAATGATTATTGGTACAGAGGAATTCACAGAGGAAACAGTCCAGCCATTTTCACAGCTACAGATCAAGAACCACAAAAGCAAAAATTATAGGGGAAAGTGATGGAAAACAACAAACATTTACAAAACATTCTGGGAAACACTATTACACCATGGATGTGTATTTAGCCTGTTAACTAAATGAATTTCTCAGAACAGACTGAAGAGTCTGGGTGCAGTGGCTCATGCTGGTAATCCTAGCACTTTGGGAGGCCAAGGTGGGAGGATCGCTTGAGCCCAGGAGTTCAGATCAGCCTTAGCAACATAGTGAGATCCCGTCTCTACAAAATAATACAAAAATTAGCCAGGCGTGATGGATCATGCCTGTAGTCCCAGTTACTCAGGAGGCTGAGGTGGGAGGATCATCTGAGCCCAAGAGTTTGAGGTTGCAGTGAGTTATGATGACACCACTGCACTCTAGCCTGAGCAACAGAGCAAGACTTTGTCTCAAAAAAAAGGAAAAAAAAAGAACACACTGAAGAAAATAAAAATATTGCTGTAGTGTATGACAATAATATACTACTGAATAATTGAATAATAAAACAACTTATAAAAATCCTTACAATATGACCTAAATATGTCTCTCTCTCTCTGTCGCTACACACACATCTCGCACCCCTTCCTGTCCCTAACATGAAGATTGTCCCTAACATGAAGATTGTCCCTAACATGAAGATATCAAAAAGGCTATAAATCAAATCTTAAGAATGTTTGCCTTCAGTATATAACATTTTGGTGACTTCAAAAAATTTGTTTTTTTCATTTTTTATTTGTATTTTCTGATTTTTCTATAATGAACC